TTTAACCACAGTTTTTTTTTTCATAAATAGGAATTAAATGACTATATACTCAGTCTCAATAATTTTGATTCCATATTCATTTTAACTCTAGAGTATGTTTTCCTCTGTGGAGATTTGTTTTTTCAACACAACATTCCTAGTTTTAACCACATTTTTTTTTTCATAAATAGGAATATTTGGATGTTTTGGGAAGACCAATGGTTTTAGCAGGAGACAAAGCTAAGCAAGTCCAGTGGACAAATGTGTACCTCGATGCACTGGTAAGAGGCTGAGCTGTTCAACCAAAGACTGTCATGACAAAAGCAAGCAGCTGACTTCTACTTCTTTCTAGGCGACACTTCTTTTTTCCTCTTCATTAAACCCTTTCCAAAATTCCTTCTGTCACAAGCTTCTTTACTAGAATTTAGATAATTTACATAAAAATTTAGATTTGTAAGTATATAGTAGAGAACCACAAATGTAAAGTAGTAGTATTTTTATTTTCTACTTGATCCATTGAGAATGTAGAATTTCTAACCTAGAATATTGAATTTATGGGCATTTCAATAACTTTGAATTTTTAATTTAAAAAACAATGCTGAAAATCATGTGAATTAGAAACTATTTCTGCAGATTTTGAACAAGAATTTTGAAGAAAATACTTTTAAAATAGACCACCTAGTAGGAGCATGTTTAACTACCACAACTGTAGCCAGACCCACCAAAACTCAGAAGTACAAGCAGTTAGATAGGCAAAAAAATTTTATCCTACACTGAAATCATCACAAACCTGATCACCTCTTCATATATAATCTCTTGTATTAGATTCAACCCCAGACATTTTTGTAGAAATATGCCATTGAGGTGATCCAATGCCGTGTGAAATAACACGTTAGTACTGGTATTCTATTGTATTTTAAGGCAATGGTTCTCAACTAGGGGTAATTTTGTCCCTCACAGGTTATTTGGAAATATTGGTGGACATTTTAGATTATACTCGCTTGGGGGGAAGGGTTGCTACTAGCGTCTAGTGGATAGAGGCCAGGGATGCTGCTGAACATCCTCCAATACACGGGACAGCTGCCTTCCACATACACACGACAGTTATCCAGCTCACAATGTCAATAGGTCTGACGTTGAAAAATCTTTTTTTATGTAATTTTTACTTTCATGACATGAAAGTTATAAATAATAATCACACAAGATTTATTCATATGCTTAATCTTAATGAGAAGACTTTAGTAATGATTTACTAAAATTATATATTTGGAGAGAATCAAAATACTAAGTCCTAAAAAGTAAACGCTGATTCAATAACCCTTTTCCCTACTTGGAGTTCAGTTATATGCTGTAACTTCTTTTCTAAATGCAATGATGAACCCATAGGGCAAAATGTATTCCGTTTAGAATTACTTATCATTTGGTTCTTACAAAATAAACATATACAGGAAGTTAGAAGAAAAATAGGGACTTTTAACAGCAGCCTTGCATGCTAAGAAAGATAAAGTGAAGCTTGCTTACCTCAAACCCTTGCTAAAATTACTATCCAGTGCTCCTTCTTGACATCACATATTTACTTAAGGTCACATGGTCATCTAAAGCTGTGGTCAAAATGTTTCACTTTTTCAAATCCATCACAGGACAGTGTGTGATAGGAGGAGTCAATAATTATGCCCAGTTGTATTTCCTATGACCAGAAGTTCATTAACCAGTATGTCTGCATTGCTGGTAAGGTTCTTACTGATAGCACAAATGACATTAGGAGGAAATGTTGGTTCTAAATGTGCTGTTCTACAAGCAAAAACTAAATGTGGAAAAAAAAAAAAAAACGGGGCACATGAATTGACTATTCATTGGACACATAAAGCATTCTTTTTATTGGTTTAAGAATGATAAGTGACCCATCATGTATTTCTACTTTATAATCTCTGCACACAGCAGATTCAAAATATATGTTGGTTAAATCAGCAGTTGTATTAAGAAGGAAAAGGTGAAAATATTTTAAGACCAAATGTAATAAATATAATGAGAAAAACTCTAAGATCTCTGGAATTTCAAAATCAAGAAGTCACATATTTGGAGGTAGAGTGAGATGTGGTTAAAAAACAAATGGAGACATTTTGTGAGTCAATGTAAGGTTTCCACAATTGGTCGTGAGAAGTGAAATCGCACAAAGCAGGTATAGTGTAAGATTCGAGGAAGTGCCAGTATGTTGAAGGAATGATACCTTGTTCACTTTTGGAGGAATGGGAGATAAGGACAGAAACAAGACTATGACAATATTGTAGGGAGTTCATTTTTATTGGAAGATAAAGTGAGACTCGTTATATAAAAAGAGAGGCATGACAAGAGTTGACCTCCAGGAGATAAATATCAAATAAATTCCAAGAGGCAGAAATCTTGTTCTTTTTCTCTTTTAATTCTCTAGAGACATGTGCAGTGCCCAGGAATAGAGTATAACCTTTTGGTCTGCTTAATAAATGAAGGAAAAAAAATGGAAGTTGGGCACCAATGAGTTCATCCATAATTGTCTTAAATCTGTTAGTGATCTAGTATCTCATTTTAGGGTATATAAATTACCATTTTTAGAAACAAATTATAGTATTCTGTATAAATGCAAAAGTGATG